TCGGTGGCTCCAAGACTACCTCTGCAACCGCACACTTCAAGTCCTCATCTCCGGCCAGACATCAGCCAGACGGCCAGTTAAGGCTGGAGTGCCACAGGGCAGTATTCTGGGCCCCGCCTTATTCTTGGTCTACGTCAACGACCTTGAAGACCACCTCCCAATCGGCTCCAACCTTGCCTCATTCGCCGACGACACAACCCTATACGCCGAAATTGCAACTCTCGCTGCTGTTCCTGACAACGCTAGAGTACTCCAGGCTGCTGTTGACCTAGTATCCATTTGGGGCTCGAATTGGAAAGTGCAGTTCGAGCCAGCCAAATCTCAGGCCCTTACAATTTCCCACCATCGTCGAGACTGGCCAATACCCCCCATTGTCTTCAATGGCACTCCTGTCGAGGAGCAGCCCTCCATCAAAGTACTCGGCGTCACGTTTGACCATCAGCTAAAATTCAGCCAGCATATCCGAACTGTTGTAGTCCGAGCAACGCAGAGACTTGGAGCGTTGCGCAAGGCATTTCACTTGCTGGCTACTCCTGCCTGACTTCGAACCTACAAAGCCTTTGTCCGACCGGTTATGGAGTACTGCCTGGATGGGGGCAGCTCCTTCCCACTTGAATCGGCTGGACCGGGTGCAGGAGCGAGCCATCAAGGCAATACATCCGAAATGCTGGCTTCCTAGCCTCATAATTCGCCGCACCATCGCTGCCCTCTGCCTTCTGTATAAAGCCCTTTGCGATTATTCTCCCTCTCTTCTCTCGAGAATGGCTCCATCCCCGACACACCAGCCCAGGACCACACGCCTCGCCCGCCAGCCTGTACGACTGTCCACCGCGCATCCCCAATGCCCCATCAGTTACAGAATGTTCTTCCTGCCAATTCCCAGAACAATGTGAGCCAAGCCTTTCCCCACTCCGTCATCCCAATTTGGAACCAGCTGCCTTCCTCTATCATTCCCCACCCATTTCACCCAAAGAATATCCAAAAGTTCAAGACAGCAGCTTATCACCATCTCCTCAGAACGAACTGGCACTGGGCCACTCATAGCATATGCGAGTAAGAGGGTACAGTGTCCTACCCTGCTTGGATATAATCTCTCCTCACAGACAGTCTCCTCTTGAATTTAAAAGTCTAACAGCGTTCACATCAATACTCAACTTATTTTTTTCTCACTGAGCAATACAATCCTCCCTACCCAATATCCCTTTGGTGCGTCCATGGAGCTATGAAGCCGAGACCTCTGGTCGGCGGAGCTTAAGAAAAAAGAACAAAAACAAAACATACAGACAGTTAGACATACAGACAGCCAGGCAGACAGACAGATAGACAGACTGAAGGCTGTGAAACAGAAGTGAGAAAATACCGTGTTACTTTACTACTACAGTAAAACCCGTGACTACCGACCACCCCTTGGTGCCAGCAAAAGCAAAAGCAGGTGGTCTTTAGTTAGAGGTTTGCACCGCGTGACCATATGTGGATCCCATTATATGATATGTATGTCAAAATGCAGCTAATACAATTCCCCAGGACTTGCGCAATGTCATTCTTATTTCAGGTCAAACAATACTTGGAGAGAAAGACGGAGAGATGGAGAGAGAGACAGAGAGAGAGAGAGAAGATTATTTTTTTGCAGACTTCAAATTCAGCTGCTACTTCTGAAGCCAGGAGTCAAACGTTCCCTGGGGAAGTTTCGTTTTGAGCTGGGCTTCAAATTTCAAGTGTTCATGCGATCAATCGTACCGACTGTCCTTGTTGTGACTTCTCGATTGCTTGAACGCGATCCTTCAGGATCAGGACCTTGTGGTGCTGCTTTGTTTCTGGATTCCTTGATGCCATCGTCGATCCGTCTGTATGACTGGGGTGACAGAGCCGCCCAGTCTTCGTTTCTCCTCCGAGTAGTAACATCGATCAGAGAGCGCTTTCGATGCGCTCTCCAAGACGTTTCCTATCATGTTTTTTCTTGACAGCGCTTGAAATTTTGACAGGTGTAGTGCAGTCCACACCGACTCCACAGCCAAAATTACCTGCGTTCATTTGTTCAGCTGTAGTATCGAAAGATTCCTTTCAGGACCATGGAAAATCAGGAAAATTTGAAGAAGGAGCTTCGAGCAACATTTGATTTCCTACATCGCGGTCACTAGTTACGGGTCAAAAATTGTCTTTGGGACAGGAAAAGGCGGTCGCTGGTCGCGTTCAGCAGGTAGTCGCTAGTCACAGTGCATTTTGAATGTGAGACCTTCCGTGCCTGGCGAAGTGGTCGGTAGTACCAGGCTGGTCGCTAGTCACGGTGGTCTTTAGTTACAGGTTTTACTGTATATTACTGCCAGGCAGGCACATTGGGTTGGTCAAAGATCATGATTGAGATAGAGGTACCTGGTTCAAGTCCTGCCTGGTACTCATCATCACGTTTGAATGTGCGAAGTAAAATAAAAACCAACCAACCAACCAATGTTCAGTTCTCTCGCCCTTTTTCGTTTAACCAAGGAGCCCTACAAATACCGGTATGTGTAGGGCTCCCTGACTTTACCAGGAAGTAGTGTACTTGCAAGTAAGCTGTCCACTAAATGGACCATGGTGACTATGAAACATCGTGTATAGCACCATGTCCATGGCCGTCGACTACCAGTGCTTTGTGCTAGTACATGTACAGTGGAAGTGTGTGTGTGTGTGTGTTTATTGGTTCCAGGGTTCATATACTTTCCATTTGAAGTATACATACCTGCTAACCATGGACTGCTTCTGGCTTTTGTGTAATCAATGATGCTAGTGAAGCTTATATCAGATCCACTCTGATTTAGCAACCTTCTTCCGGGGAGACCCACCTGACCAGTTTTGGCAGTGAGCAACAAGTACAAGTGTGTGAGTGTGCTTCAGGGGCCGATTATCCATACAATGTCATGACATTGCGGTCTCCTGATTGCGCGAAGCAAGACACTCTAAGAAGATCTGGTGGACCTGGTGTGTACGTGTGGGAGAGCTGTGGAGTACGAACCAGTCAGAAGACGCAGCACCCGCATAATCACTGAGCGCTTTGACCGGTCTTCAAGGTTATCCATGGGCAAAGAGAATGACGTGTAGAAGTGTCTTGTTATCGGATTACGTACGACCTACATGTAGAGCGACATTCTGTAAACCTGAACAACAAAACACAACCCATAGTCATACCAAGAATACATAACGCCAGACCCATATTACATGGCTATACATCTGTAGCAGTCTCAGCGGAGGACGATCAGTTCACAGTTGTCTGATGAATGCCTAGCGGCATGAAACTCAGAGTTACAACCAACCTGAACGTCCTCCGCTGAGTCTGCTACACTGTATGTGCTATTGACTCAATGTCATTGAGCACTCTCTGCAGCTCGGGGATCAACGGATTTAACCCCCATGGTTATGACTTATCACGGTACTCTTGCCCATACTGATCTGTGATCAGCTACCATGACTGTAGACATACCAGCGAGTCGCGACCGTTCTGTCCCAGGTCGACTCTTTCAAGGTTACGTAATGGTATGCTGGAAATCCCACAGTACAGTGAGAGTTTATACAAAAGAGAAAGACCAAGGAACTACAAGTTACGCTATACTGTCCACTAACACCACCAGTTACTAAACAATCAGCTCATGCGATAACATTGCACGACACTGACCGACGGTACTGACGTTCTACAACTTACTGGCTAACAGCTCTAGCACATCTTGGATGCGCACTCCAACAGCCTTCCAACTTGGAAGGTTCTCTAAGTAATAGAAATAATATAAGGAGGGGAAGGTGAGCGCAACCAAGATAAGCACGAGCTGAAAGTCTCAGCTGTGAAGGACGTTGGCGGATGTTCATGCATGTCGATGACGATACTGGCAAGACCATTGGACAATACGGTCAAACCACGATTCAAGAACGCAAAGCAACAGTCCACACAACTTGTGTGGCTCAAAAGATGCGAAGATCAATACAAGGGGAAGCTATGCGAACAAGAATCATGAAAAACCGAACGCCTCAGTAAAACAGCACTGTACTTCGACTATGACAATTTAGTTGGACAATAAGCAGCGGTAACAAGCAGCAGTTTCACACGACGATCGTTTCGCTGTATGATGTGCTAGAGCTGTTAGCCAGTAAGTTGTAGAACGTCAGTACCGTCGGTCAGTGTCGTGCAATGTTATCGCATGAGCTGATTGTTTAGTAACTGGTGGTGTTAGTGGACAGTATAGCGTAACTTGTAGTTCCTTGGTCTTTCTCTTTTGTATAAATTAAACCTTGGCTCTCCAGCTGAGTCCATTCCTACAGTGAGAGTGTCGGTTATTACTTCGGCTTGCCCCGTGCTGTGTACTGTACAGCGACTGTACTGGACAGTGTACAGTGTAATGTACATGGCGGTGCGGTGGGAAGTGTTGTGTTGTTGTGTTACTTGTGTATGCCTATGCCCCGCCCCCCGCCCCGCCCGCCACCCCCCCCCCCCTGAATTTTGCCGTCCAATTTTGCATATGACCATGCATACATCTCTTGAACTAACTTTGCGGCCTGTGCCACGCGTGCAGGATTGAACGTCACAGTCTCTATCCAGAAAGCCGGTTCATGAGTCGATTTGGCACTAGCGATCCACCATTGCTTGGCCATGGGGTTGTACTTGTAGCATTGGCAGATGGTAGATCTGCAAGGAACTAACTAGTTGGGTACAAGGCACGGACTTGGATTTCCCGCGGATACACACTGAGGCCGGTCGGGTTAGCATTGTGTCTAGCCTAGCCGCGGTTACCTGCACGCTGTACTGTCTGTAGAGTGTAGTAGCAGGTCAAGTACATGGCCCTACTACTAGACTAGTACTAGTAGATCTACTATCACCGACCTAACCGTGATCACCATGATCACTAGCATCAGCTGCTATCCAGTCTGAGAAAAAATGGCGCGGCGGAGACTGTACAGACTACAGAATGATCATGTAGTAATAGTATGATGTACTGGTTCGCAGTGAACGACTTATTTTTCGTCGTTGCTCAGCAGTTTCCTGCTTTTGAAGTTTTTCGCTTCGTCACCAGCCGAGAGAGAGTACCGTGGCTCGACGTCGTCGACAGAGTCAGTGAGCGCGATAGCGAGTGGACAGGTTTCCATCGCCTCCCGTGCTCCATATGCACGGATGGGGCCCAGGGTTGGCAGGACCTCCATTCAAACATAAGCCCAGTTTGCCCTCTTCGGAAGCGTTCTCGCCCTGAACCGTTCACGGAGGCGAGTGAGAGGTGAGCCAACTATTTACTTTCTTGGTGGCGACAATGGCGTCACTGGACGATTCCCATGTGTACACATCCAGCAAGGCGCGATTGGGTGGTGAGTTAGAGCCACCAGTTCCCCAGCTAATGCATGTGCCCAAACACCGGTCATCAAGAGATATGCCGGGAGCGCTCAGTCGCATGGAGACTCATAGCACGACTCGGACTGCGTCCTGTGCAGAAGACTCCAGTGTGCCCAGCCCTGCACGGTCCACGATGCTGACCGGTGGAGTTGAGAGAAATACGTACCGCACCGCTTCTGCCAGTGCCCCTATCGTACTGCCGTCAGTAGCTGCAGCAGAAGCAGCATCGACATTACCTGCACCTGAGGATGTTGAGGAGGAGCCCAGGGTCAAGACACATTGTGCTGCGCCGTGGACCGCATTCAAGCCAGCCATTGCATTGCCGCACCTAGATCTTGGCCAGCAATCTACACAAGGCCAGACGAGCGCATCGAATGGTTCCACGCTGAGTGCTGCACGTAGCTCATCTAGGCCAGCTGATGGTACACCATCCAAACAGGCTGAGAAACTGATAGCTGGTAAGCGCAAAGTCGGGAGTGCAGTAACTACAAGCGTTGCAAAGAAGCCTAAACCGATGGGAAGAAGTAATGTCATGGCACAGCCTCCACAGGGCGCACAGGAAACCGTTCTACATAGTATTGCAGAGGAAGATAGTGATGGCTCAGGGAACCCTGTTGACGATGGTGACGAAGAGGATGACAGCGCAGTGGCACGGCGTGTGCTGGCGGTGCAGAGAATGACGTTGCACTGTGGACTGAGCGAGCGCGAACTTGTAATGATGCCCGTCAGGGACTTGAATAAGCGTCTGCGTGGCATGGACCGGCCCACAATCGCTCTTCTTAAACAACGACGTAGGACCCTGAAGAATCGAGGTTACGCTCAAAACTGCCGGTCTAAGAGAACTAGTAAAACAGAAGAGCTCAAACAGCTGAAGCAAAAGGCAATGCAGGAGCTCCAGGAAGTATCGGATAAGCTTGCCGATCAACAGAGGCTGCGAGACAATTACAAGCAGCAGTTGAAACAGTTACTGAATGTATGCAAAAGCACACCAGAGCTGGCGTCAGCCTGGGCAGCCAATGCACCTAAACTGCTAGGCAATACTGATATAAGTGCAGCAGATCCTGCTAGCAGCCTAGGCAGCAGCAGCAGCACTGCGCCAGCGAGTACGAGTGCGGCTCTTTACAAGTCTACATCGTTGGGTAGCTCAAAGTTGGCAAGTTCCAAAAGTGCAGCCGCAAAGGATTGGACCCTGCCGGATGACCCTCTCCTGGTACCTCTGGCAGCTGCTATGGCCGAGCATGAGAAGAAGAAAGGGGCGAAACAGCAAGAAACGTAAAAAGTTTGCTGCGTTGGTGCTCTGCATGCCCATGCTGCAGGCAATGCAGGATTCATCATGCCTAACTAACGAACTCTTCAATGGCTAGCACTTTATTAACCCGCTTACAGGGTTGCAAGTTTGGCCATGACGGTCTGTTTTACTAGTGTCCTTGTTCATGTCATTGCGCTGACGGTTTCATGATCAAAATCCCGGTTGTTGTTGTTGTTGTTGTTGTTGTTGTTGTTGTTGTTGTTTTTGTTTTTGTTGTTGTTGTTGTTTTTGTTTTTGTTGTTGTTGTTGTTGTTGTTGTTGTTGTTGTTGTTGTTGTTGTTGTTGTTGTTGTTGTTGTTGTTGTTGTTGTTGTTGTTGTTGTTTTTGTTTTTGTTGTTGTTGTTGTTGTTGTTGTTGTTGTTGTTGTTGTTGTTGTTGTTGTTGTTGTTGTTGTTGTTGTTGTTGTTGTTGTTGTTGTTGTTGTTGTAAAAAAATAAGACTTTACAATGAAAACCTGTCAAGGTGACCACTCTGCCCGATAAGGCACCCACATGCCTCATAGGACCGCAACGACTTGGACCAAGGCCGAAAGTCAATTCACAGAATGTATGCCACGCCGCAGCGAACGATCCTGTAAGTAGGGGTAGTAGTAGTAGTAGTAGAATTATTATTTTGATAGGGAAGGCCCTACAGACGTTGGGTTAGGCGCTTTGCGGTGAGGTAACAGTCATGTCATTTTCAACTTGAGGAGCTATGGACGACTTTGACGACTGCAATGACCAACTGGATTATTATGTGCAGACTACGGAGCGTGGTGCCGGGCTTTATAAAGAATACGACTCAGGATGTTGTCGTGACTCGAGAGGAGAGGACGAGATGATGTGATGCATTGGAGGCGTGATCGGAAAGCCGAACTGGGCTGCTGCCTCTTGAATAGTGCCCTGTTTGTGGTGGACGAGGGGTACAACATGTCCTGGGCCGCGATAACACACACCGGGAATTCCCTGCTATTACATCGTACCAGGTCTGCTGCAGGGTGAGGAAAAGACTCCCTGTCCAATCAGACTCGGGCTGCGTTTACACGACAACGATTGAAAACGATTTGCGTTTACACGACAACGAAGTAGGACCTAAACGGAACGAAATCGTTGCGTTTACTACTATCGTTTACACGACAACGCCCGAAAACGATACCTAAACGGAACGAAATGGAAACGCACTTCAAAGTGTTTTGAAACGTTTTCAAAACGTTTTCAAAACGTTTTCGTTCTCGTGTAAACGGTGAAAACAGTGAAAACGATTGGAAACGGAGCGCGGTCATGGAAACCATTCCGCGCAGGACTATATTTCGCGGGAAATACCTGACCTTTGCGACCACCTGCACGTACCAACTCCAACTAACGTGTTACTTCCCGCCCTTGCGCCAAGCCAGCACGTGCTAACTCCAGCCTGATCGCCCGTTTTCCGTTTTCGTGTGAACGGTTCAAAACGATTTGCCGTTCTCGTGTAAACGGTTTGAAAACGATTCGAGGCCAGCCCGTTTTCGTTCCGTTTCGTTTCGTTTCGTCTCCGTGTAAACCATGGTAAACGCAGCCTCAGTCTGGTACAGCAGTGCAGGTTCTAAACCGGTCCAGGGTACTACCGGTAGTGTACTGCCCCTATATACCCCGGCCGTGTCACGACACGGGCCGCGGGTCGCGCGCGCGGGATCAATGGCTATCGCATGTCGTCATCAAAGTCTGCGAAAAAGTGCATGTTTTTGCTATTTTTAATACAGTACATGTATTCAAAAAAATTCAATTTCAGGCAAGACGATTCACATCACAAAGTAGATAGAAAATGTGAGAGTGAAGAAAGCTGGATGGGGCTATCAATCTCTGACAGAGTCGATCCAACAGCAAGTATCCGCCTGGAAAGTGAATCTAAATTGGAACGTTCTCGATTCATTTAGTTTGTCCTGACTGCTTCCAAATCTCTGTGGACCTATTGTACTTCTCA